TAAATAAATGTCCTAGAACTACCTTTACTAGTACTTGAAGGGAGTTCGGATGGTAAATTATTCACAACTCTCTTGTTGATCGAGATCTGAATCTTGGTCATCTTGATCTGAAATAGTTAATGAAAAGGTGAGCTACATTAGCGCAGTAAGAATATCATACTAATCATAAATACGGAAAACTAAAGATTGGCAAAATCAGAAAAACAACCAATGCAGCCCTTAATTTATGTAAATTTATTTACTATAAAGAAAGTTATTTATTCTATATTTACGTAACAAATTTTTTTCCAAAAATAACTTATGAAAACCATATCCATACACTTTTTATTATCACTTATAAGATAGCAAGTAATGATCACTTTTCATTTTTATCTGCTTACCGGTATCCTTGAGGGTCCATAGGGACGTTCTCCTACTTGTGAATCCAGTATCCAATTAAACAATTAATCGGCTATCCCCGTATCCTGTTCGGTAATGAGTACCAAATATTTCACTACATTAATACCCCGTCTGGTATGAGGGTGAACTATATCTCTTAAACCTTACTGCTAAAGGACTTCTTAACCCCGTCCGACCAAGTTAACGTTCACGGTAGAGTTTCCTATGTACCAGACCTGTCTGCCCTTTTTCGGATACCCAATAAGTCTTTCCCATACAAATTTCTATCAGTATAACAATCAATCACGCAATACCCATATCTCATTTAATACTCACAGTTCACTTAACCAATGACAAGAATACTGACAAACAATGCAGGGGAAATAAATAACCAAAAGTACCTAAAAACTATCATTTCAATTACGTACAGTATAATAGTAAATAAATATAGGTAATACAGAAAAATAAATAGGAAATTGAGACAATCGTGAACTAACTAGTTCCGGCTCCACTACCTGTAATTATTTTCAAGGTTCTCTAATTTTTTATAAAAATACACAATAATTAATTATTAATCCTCAATTTATCGTAATGGAGAAAAAGGTAAGGGATCCTTATCTGAATTAGTGTTTTGGGATGCCGTGTTGCCTACTACGCTGCCTAACGGGTACCGAATTTCTTGAATTATCTCTGTTGAATTCAAAATACTTATCACGTACCTAATAATATCCTATAAATCTAAAATTGGTTGTCCAAAACTCATTCCGGCCAATTTTGGGGTTCCAGCACGGCGAGCAGCGCTGTGCTCTAGCGTCGGCTCCACTACCCACGGTGGCGGTTCGCCTCGGCCTAGCCAGTTTTGGCTGGTTTTTGTCAGTTTTTGGGCGATTTTGGACGTATCCTACAGAAAATACGTCAGGGACCTTGGTTGGCCGAAAAACGACAGAAAATCAAACTCACCGGCGGGGAAGACCTCTAAGTACGGTGGCTCTGCCGGTTCTCCTTCACAGCTGATGTTCTTTCTTCGGCCAACCTCCACAAAAAATGACAGTGAACACGACGATTGAAAAATTACGTAAAACGAAAATCGGGAATGAGCTCATCGGAGGAATTTTGGGACTTTGGCAGCACCAGCTTCGTCAGGCTTCGCCTACGATTTTTGGCTCACTCACCATCCCTTTTTGCTCCAATTTAGTCATGGGGGTGTTCGAAATCAAATTTTGAGCAGTAGGGGAAATTTTTTTACCTCTTTTGCCAGTTGGCGGTCAGTCTCCTTATCCGGCTTTTGATTTTTCTTCTCCGATAAGGGCTAGCAGCTAAGGTTTGGGTTCCCGTATGATGCGAAGTATTTATACCCATCATACTTTGATCTGAGCCGTCCGTCGCGATCGATTTCGTCCGTCCGCTCGCGCCCAATAAGAAAATAAATATGGACCGTTCATAGTGATTTGATCTTGACCGTCCGATCGCATTTAAGAAAAAAAAATCTGAGTCGTCCATCACAATTTGATCTCGACCATCCCATCGGGTTTAAAGGAAGAACAAATCTGAGCCGTCCACGCACGCGGGATCGATCCTGGGCCGTCCGATCGCAGAGCACGTGGATCGCTCACGTGGCACCAACTTCAGCGTGCTTCGCCACGCGGCGTGCCCCGGTTTGTCGAGGTTGCTGACTGGGCAGTCCTACATGATATAATTTTTTCTATTTGCATTATGACCCATGTTTCTAATTTTTCTTTAAAAAACACCCATCGAACTCAAATTTTCACCCATGTTTTTCAAAATTATTTTCGATTCCATCGTTAAACTTTTTTCTCCATAAATTCAACAAAAATTAAAATAAATTAATTTAAAAACAAATTTTTATATAATTTAGAATGTTAAAATTGATCTCGGGCCAAATTCCGGACCCGAATATTATAATGTATACACAAATAGTTTACATTAGTAAAAATTAGTATCATAATCGATGCAAACTAATTTTACTAAGGAGTTATTTCATCAGTAATTTCAGTCCTATTGAAATGAAAATTATTTGTATAAGAAGATTTTTAAAAAGAAATTTTATTTTTATAAGTGATATTTACATTGCCAATCAATAAATAAATAACCCTTAATATTTTCTAGTCAATTAAAGTGTAGCATCTATATAAATCATTGAAATTAATAAGTAAAATTTATTATTTTATCTATATTTACTCTTGCTGCAGCCTCATCCATTCACTTATCCATTAGTTAGTGTATACATAAATGCACATGCATCCAAACATAGAAATACATATCCTGATATATAAAATATATTCACGAAAGAAAAAAAGATGTATTTTATACTTTTTTTTTATAATATTCTACTTTTAATAAAAATGCTAAAAAAAAAATTAATAACAACATTATAATAAATGTCATTCTTAATTTATATAATTAGATTTGATGAAAATATTATCTTAAAGATACGACAACGGAAATTAAAATAGCAATTAATATGAGTTTTTGCTCGCCTCGCAGTGTGTAAATTGGCTTGAATTTCTAATGCTTTTATATCTATCATGCCAATATTGCATTTTATAAAGAAAAAACTATATGCATAGCTACGTTTATATTGCCTACATCATGAAAACAGTTCCTTTCCGAGTGCTCCAAAAATATCAATTTTCACTCTTTTGAGTTTTTTAAAATGTTAAAAATTGTACTCCTTCACTGAAAGTTTTTTCTCTTCTTTTCAAAAATATATTTAAATCTGTCTACTTTTTCATACTTATTTGTTGATGTTGTTACAAGTCTACACAGATTATCAATAATGTATGCAATTTTAAATAAGACTTGCCTTTAACACACGGTGTCCACGTAGAAAGCAAACACACCCGTTCCATCATTTGTCGGTCTTCCTCCATCTGTCAACTTTCTCACGGGGTCTACAATAACTAACAACAATGGTAAAATTTAAACATTTTAAAAAAAATTAAAGAATTACCTACAAAATATCTAAAGACTGTAATTTGAAATTTTTATAAACTAGAACTACACTTGGTTCAAAGAAAAATATTGAGATAACACTCTGTAATGCAACATTTCAGCATAAAGAAACTGATTAGGATAGTTTTTTCCAAACAAGAGGTAAAATATTAAAAATGCATGTGGTGCAGGTGCAGTAAAAAAATACAACTGGATAAAAGAAAAAAAGTTACAGCAGAAGCTGCAGCAAAATACAGTGTAATGCACTGCTTAAAAAAAAAATCATATGGAAAAAATACCATAACAGAATATTCACCGTTTTCACTTAAAATAGTCTAAAGATCATGTTAAAAACGGTGACTGAATGGCGTTGATCATCACTATGCAGTAAAATGGATGTCAGAACAACAAATCAGTTTCCTTACAACTTGTGTTTTACAAATTTCATTAAGTAAAAAATTCTTTACAATAATCTATAAGTTAAGAAAACAAGAGGAAAGTAGTCAAAACTCGGGAATAGAAAAAATTGAGGGCATCTACTTGATACAACCACAGCTGATGGAAGGAACCTTGCAAACACCTGCCGATGTGGTTAGTGGAATATCTTTGTAGCAGGCCACTAGATCAGCGTTTGTTTGCATATCCACTTGAAGTGTCTCCCACACCTTCTTCTTAGGGTTTAAGACATCATCAGGATCACCTTCAAACCCTGGAAAAGTTACTCGTTCTCCAACGATAGCAGATTTCGGTGGCTCAACCAACTCAACCTGAAATTGCACCAAAATTTTTAATCTCGTCATATCCACTTCTACTAAAAGAAGAATCCTTTCAATGACTTAAAAGAGAAGTGAGATTCCATTAGTGCAACGTTTCAAAACCTTCTTGATTAGGGCAATTTACCAAGGGATGAGAGAAAAAAGACAGAAGCCGCAAGCTCATCAAGTAATATATTTGCCTACTTTCTGTGGTCTTACTCTATTAGAACCCACCTCAAGAACCCCCCACCCCCCAAATCTCTGAAGGTTTGATTAAAGGGTGAAATCCAATTCAACAACTGTCTAATTATGACTGCTATCATCATTGCATCCTACGAAAGATATTCAAGGAAACGTTTAACTTCCAAGCCATAAACATGCACAGAGGAAGAGATAACGAATGATTATGATAAAATTAAGATATGGGAATGGTGCTGGTCCACTATGTGATATTGTCCATATTTGTCTATGTGATATTGCTTACCTTCGTGTGGTCGCTGTTGGAAGCAGCAAGCACCATCGCATGTGATTTAATACCCCTCATGGTTGCTGGCTTTAGATTGCAAAGAACACAGACCAGACGGTTCTGCACAAGAAAAGTCATAGCAACTAAGAAGCTAATATATACTTTACAAAACCTGAAAATAATGCATAGCCAGACACACGGGGAACTCATGCGTGCCAAAAAGAATTTAAACTTGAAAGTTATAGCGAAGAAAACAATAAATTACTGAGAACTCAATAAAAGCAGTAAATAGGAACCTGCATCTCTTCAAGTGGTATATACTTGACAAGTCCACTAACGACCGTCCGAGTTTGTGCTTCACCGACATCAATCTCTTCTAGATATAGGGAATCAGCATCAGGATGCTTCTGGGCTTTCACAATTTTCCCAACTCGAATATCAAGTCTGGTAATGGAAATCTCTGATTCAGCACTGGCCTTAGGTTTCGCTTCAGCGGCAGATTTAGTTGGCCGCTGTTTCTTGCCATCTAGCGCAAATAGAAGCTCAACAATCAAACAACAAAGGAAACAAAATTGGAAAGAGTGGAAAATATGTCACTGCTCAGTATTGTATGCTAAAAAGTGAGAAGGTAGATGATGCTAAACGAGCCTACTTTTTCTACACGAACAGATTAGTCATTGATCTAGCATGTGTTAGGCTTTGTGGTCTTACAATTTATAAATATAGCAATAGAAAATTCCAAGAAATTACTTGTGCAGGTATGGTAGAGGCAACAACTGCACAAGCTCTCAATTATAAGAACCAGACAGCTTAAAGGAGACAGATTGTTTGCTATGTGAGAAAAATAAATAAAATTCAACCTGAAACTTTGGTTTTCTTCAGTTGCTCAGCAAGATCTGCTGCCTCTGCTTCGGCCCTAACCAGCCTATCAGCTTGACTTCCAGCAAACTTATTTCTCCACTTCTCCACTTCCTCATTTTTCTGGGGCATTTATTGATTGTAGCAAGTATGAGCAAAAGGAAACATACGAATGGGAAAACCTCCACCATGTCAAATTTTTTCGGGGAAAAAAATAGGGCACAACAGAAAATACCAGTTCCTTAAAGAGCGGTTCAGGTTTCCCAATTTTATGTCCAGCAAGTAGGATCTCCCATGGCTTTCTTGCCTTATCCAACTCTCCTTTGTCATCACAAAGTGAAAATTGAGGTGGCAAATTCAGCTGCTTAAATACCTTTTCAAATTCAAGAAAAAAGGAAAATATTCTCAGCATGAGAAATCAAGCGCAGCAACTTCCTTTTCTTTTCTTTTCTGATTAATACATCTACCAGCCAATTGAATTACCTCCAGAGAAAAAGATGGCATAAAAGGTTCTAATAAACATGCCAGAAGATGCACTAGTCCTGCTGACGTTCTCATAACAATATCACATGAAGGGCGATCCTCCTTGTAAAGCTTCCAAAATTGGCTATCCTGAATGAAAATAATCATTAAAAGAAAGAAACTCTTCAGCAACAAAAAGAAATTGATTTCATGGCCACACTAAAATTGTTATAACAAGCAGCAATAAGCCCTCAAACCATAGTTTCAAGCTTACTTGCAGATATGCATTCCCTTCACTTGAAATGCTCATTGCAGTCTTCAGTCCTTGCTTTAGCTTAACCTTAAAAAAGAGCAACAGAAATGTAAATAGAAATATAAATGCAACAGGGAAAATTGGGTGAAGGATGTGATTTGAACAATCATATTCGGCAACCACTGGTCACCTTCTCCATAGCTTCTACATATTGCTCCACATGTTTGCCAACTTTTTCAGCCAATTTACATGTGGAAGGGTGTGATTCAGCACCAGGAGCATCAGGGATAACAGAACCATAACCTTGACCTGTAAACAAAAAAAGTTAGGTTATAGTCACTTCATATGCTGCCAGGAGAAATAACGTTTAATTATATAGACAATGATAGTCAATTAAAAGAAATACAATCAATCCCAGAACAATACACCGTTGCATTGGTCGAGTATGATATTGGATTAACAAACCAATTGTATTTAACACTAAAAACCATAAAAGAATAATTTTCTCTTCATGTGCACATTAAGAATAACCAACTTGAGATGGAAAATATATTGATCCGTTCTAATGAGGAAGGAGTTGGGAAAGACAAGTGCACCAATCGAAAAAGGCAGATCACTCACAATAACCTACATCCCAGCTCAAAAGAAAGAACAAAATAATTCTCAAAGGAATACCTTAAATAGAGACCCTGCAATATGGTTAAAAAAAATAATTCTCGAAGGAACACCTTAAATAGACACCCTGTGATATGGTTATGGTGCTAAAATGAAAAAGAGAAAAAAAGTTTATATGACCATCACACTGTTATATCTCTGGTATTGTCTAACTAATTTCAGAAATAAATTTGTCAAGAATCCCAATTAAAGAGCCAAAATTTCCAAAAACCAAGTACAATTGTCAGGCAATTGACTAACCTGAAGATTTGGCGATAAAACTCAAAACTCGATTAATAAAGTTGCCGAGATTATTTAGCAACTCGCTGTTCAGTTTTGCTTGCAAATCAGCCCATGTAAATAATGTATCGGAAACCTATTCACATAAACACATCAAACCTATTAAAACTGGCAGTACAAACAAACAGTAAAAGCAATAAAAGAACATTATGTGAGTGCTTGTGTGAGTATAGCAAACATAGACAGACAAATAAACGAAGAATATGAAGTAAACTGAAACCAAAGCAAGAGAATCACGACTTTGTTGTAAGAAAATTAATTACCTCAGGCCTATTGGTTAGCAAATAATATCTCCATACTTCGACAGGAATGCCTGTATCCTTTGCATCATTACCAAACACTCCTATGCCTTTACTCTTGGAGAACTTTCCTGCAGAACCATCCAGATGCAAATTTTTAACAATTTCAAGATGCATGCTAACAAAAATTTAATCGTCTAGTATTCTGTCTGTTTTAACATAAACATTAGATTGTTGAACTAACCAGCTTCGTAATTCAGATATTCAGTAACACTGATGGTCTTCATCAAAGTCCAATTTTCACCTGTTCCAAGAAGTGTAGATGGAAACATCACCTGCAAATATGTAAATGAGAGTTTAAGATATCATCAATCTACAATCCATACCAGAAGAGACGCTTCACAAAACTCAGTAGTCATTAGACACGATGTAACCCAGAAACAGAAATTTCATGCAGTCAAACCACCAAAAATCAGAAGAGGGTCACAACTTTTTATGGTGTAGCAGTCTTAAAATTTCCCACAAAGTTTTCCAAAACTTTCAGAACTTACTAGATCCAGATTACTAGAAATTTAATTTTTGAAAAAATAAGTATGGTACTAAAAAAGCACCAAGGCTTGTTGCTAAGAAATTTATGGTCCCATTTTTGTCAACTGAACAAAGAAGTAGATCCCAGAAATAATCTGTCAAAACCTAGAACCTAGGGAGAGACCTGAAAATTCAGAGTAATGACTTAACAATTAAGTCTCATTTAATTCTCTGAACTTCAAGAAGTCAAAAGTGAATCTAGAAGAAATCAAAAAAGAAACGAGTTGATCAATGCACTGGACCAAGAGACAGGATGAGGCTTGCTTAGAAGAAACAATCAAACATCTTGAAGATATCAGCAAAACAAAGGCAACCATGGCTAGTTGTTTTTTTTTTTCTTTTTTGAAATAAAAGAGAAGTGTTATTATATCATCGGTACCAATGGGGTACCACCCATTTTTACAGCATTTACATCTCAATCAATTGATCTAATACCATCCTGAAATCCCCTAAATCCTTATTATCATGTCCCAAAACAAAAAAAACCAAAAGTATGAATCCATTTATCCTTAATGTAGTTAAAATCATTTTCAATCCTATCAAAAGCTCAAGAGTTTCTCTCTTTCCGAACAACCCACATTACCGATGGTGGAATAAGCATTAAGTATATTTTCTTTCTACACAATCCAGCCCATGCCACAATTCATCTTTCACCGTTCCCCTCTATAACCCATTTGACTCCCAACAGTCCATAAATCATTCTCCATAACCCATATACCAGTGGACACCACAGCAGTAGGTAATCGCATGATTCTGCATTGTATTTGCACAAATAACATCTATTAACCATACATTTTCCCCCCCTTATTAGCATATCAATAGTCAATATGCTTTCTCTACAAGCTTCCCATACAAAAAAAGTCATTCTTGGTGGTGCTTTAGTCTTCCATACTTGCTTGAATGGAAAAACAGAACCTGCATTCATCGCCTCTCCCCAAGATGCCGATATAGGGAATTACAGAAAATACTCCTTTTTTTTTTTCCTGCATCCATTGTTTATAATCCTCCCAGTTACCCAGTTTTGCTTCATATGCAACAAGAATT